TTATAGAAAATATACTATATTACAACGGTGGGAAGCCAAGATGCCAAGTCAGGACCGATAAAATTGCAGATTCTTCTTTTGCTTCTCTCTCTCTATATATATATAGCAGAAGCACTAGATTAGATGTAGCAGCAATATTCGATACACCGACAAATGTGCAAGAAAGTTGATAGACAGCTATGACTTCCCATGTCCCGAAAGGACACGGCCCATAAAAGAAGAAGAAATGATCTCATTTATTTTCTGTGGAATCTTCACTGTTCTGTTCTTGGTCTAAAAAAAAAAAATAAAACTTTGTCTCTGAAGTTGTTTATGGTTTAACTCTTGGAGAGTTCATTAGAATATATGATCGTCGGTTTGCATCTCAAAATCCCAAGCTGTCAAATCGTTTTTCTTTTCTGCAACATATCTTTTTCAATTTAAGCGCAGTACTAGACCAGCGTCGAGATCTCATCAATTCACAATCGAGCTGGCTAGATGTAACCGTAAATCCCATGTTAACAGTTTATTTTCTTGCACTTCTCCCTTGTGGAACTCCCTTTCAGCTCCATGATTTCCAGCCAACTTTGATCTGCGAAATTTTAAATGCAATGTCAATCGCTATCTACTGTCCTCCTGATTACTTTTTCCTCTTCCCACGCATTATTAACGTCCCTATTCCTAATTCTTCCACACCCTGTAACACTGTGTGTCTTAGTGGCTTTACTGCCTTGCATGGGGTGATACTAATTAAAAAAATATCCAATGGCTCTCACTAGAGATCAAGTGAGAGTAACTATACTCAATACTCCTGCACCTACTTCTGTATTTTTATTGATTTTAGTAACGCTCTGGTCTGTTCAGCGATTCTTTGTACAAGGAAGTCAGCCATGTTTATCGCGTTCTCGTTTGATCACTACAAATTCTATGCTTATTTTGAACTTTGATAGGTTTCGAAATGTACCTGAAAATATATTTTTAAAGAAAGAAAAATGTCGTTACCGTTTACACACATAATCTGTTATAAAATACGACCTCTGTAAAATTTATCTACATATATATATTTAATAGTGCATTTGGGTGGAAATCCGTCTTTTCTACATTTTTTTAATCATTCCCCCAACCTCAGACAAGGCGATAATACCACAAGAACGCAGGTTGGGGATTTATAGGATGTGAAAGAGGATGAGAAGACATTTGTGGGGGAAGATTGAGGAAAGGAGAAGGAAGGAACAGGGTTCAAGTGATAGAAGATGGCGAATGGCGTTGCATTTAAATTTTTGAAGTTTGTTGTTATCAGGGAAATAAGTAATCGTTAGGGAGTTAACCAAGTACGTTAAAAGAAATTTAGTATCTGTCTATATTTCTAAAATGAGATATTTTAACTATTTACACTATTTAAATTTCCCCAAGGACACATGGCGCGGTGGATAAAAGCGTTGGTTGAAGTACTCTAGTGACTTGATGCAAAGAGTTGTAAGTTCAAAAACTTGTGCACAAAAATTTGAGAGGAAATAACTGAAACTGAAATATCCAGAACAGGCATAGCACGTGGAAGTAGAACAATCTACCCCCAGTAGACTAAATAAAGGGTTCGGTTCGAAATTCCAACGTACATAACCTGTAGAAGACCGGAGTAAACAACAGCCGAAACGTTGTGGATATGACCCTAAAAATGAGGACAACAGTACGAAATGGATGAAGACCGACAATTATTTTAATATATCTTATTGTTATACATTATTTATGTATACACAAATATTTAAGTAATTGCTCTGTTTATAATAAATAGTATTAACAACATTTACCGTACGAGAAACTTCATAGAAAATATGAGTCCTCCAAAAGGAATCGAACCTGTGTCCTACACGGAACAGTCATATAGCCTGACGTGCTATACCAGCTTAGGAGCGTCTTGTTAGCAAAGTCGATTTTACTGCTTTTAAACTGAAAAATTTCACATGATTTCCCTCGAACGTCCATATCTGCTCGAAGCGTATCTTAATGTAAACCAATGACGTCACACACTACGAAATGGATTAAGTCAGACAATTATTTTAATTTAATTTATTGTTATACGCTATTTATATATACACAAATATTTAAGTCCGGTAAATGTTGTTAATACTGTTTATTATAATCAGAGCATTTACTTAATACTTAAATGTTTGTGTCTATATAAATAACGTATAACAATAAAATATATTAAAATGTAAATAGTGTAAAATGAAACTATTAGACTAGTAAGGGCGGTTGCATCTCGGTGGTTCAACAATAAAACTTATCAAAACTGCAATAAACTTAGAAACCAAGTTGCTCATTTCATTAAAATGACTAACTTAGTACTTCTGTTAAGGCTTTTTTTTTATTATTGTATCAAAGGATTTCTTTTTAGGACTTAGTGTGTGTGATAGTTCATTCCGAACGCTTTCAGCTGATTAATTAGCCATTTCCAGGGATTTTAGTTGGGCTATTGTAAATATTGTGAATAGAATGGAGGACAAAATTGGGACCATCAAGATCAGGAACCATGGATGGGATGGCCACGTCTTTCGTCTCAAAGATAACAGTGGACAATTAGAGCGACAGATTAGACCCCAAAGCAGTAGAAGACGGCCAAAGACACGACGATCTGACCCGACACCACCCGGCACATTATAGCCAGGGATAGGAAGTGATGGAGGTCAACCAGGAAGGACTTTTTCTAATAGGAGTGAGAAGGGTCTGGATTTGGCTTGTAAACGGTGCCCAATGCTATTTTAAACGGTGCATCAGTTACCGAAAGGTAAACATATTTTTAATTCTCAAATACGGACATTCCATTGTGGCCATGTTCATAATTGTTATTTTTTTATAATAAGGGATTCAATTATTTTAAACACTTTTTGCAATTAGTGGTGTATATCACATTTGTGCTTTCGACAATATTTGGTACATTTTCATATTAGCTTAAATGGTTAATGTAAACATTTGCATGTATTTAATTCGCTAGATTTGCATGTATTTAATCAAGTTGAAGCATGCTCCGAAAGTAATGCTTCATGTTTACTTTCACAAAAGTGAGAGTAGATATAGGCAGATGACACTATGAAAGCTATGGAGAGAGCAAGTATTCACCTGCAAAAGGCTATTTTTCCCACAGCAGTTACCACCTTTTGTTAGGCATTTTCGCAAGCTTGCCACAAGCGTAAAAATCTGCACCTGCGGAGGCGACCGACTTTTACCCGCACATATCGCTTATGCTATTGCCATTAACTGTGTTTGAATCCACTACTTGGTCTCCGTAAACGTTCAGCAAGCATTGATTAACGCAAGTTGGGACAATTATTTTATTTTAGTAATTCAATAATGCACCTCTTTTTCATACCCACTTTCATACCAGATATCATTTTACCAGTTTTCCGCTCAGCTACCTTCAGGGCATAAAAATATGGGTGACTGTTGATGTCGTGGACCAATGTAACAGGGGTATTATTTTCAGTGTCACCTGCCTGTAAAGCTCACTGGTTCTAATCAATTTTCAAAATAATCCGTATAAGTTTTAATCAGAAGCAGTACAAACATTAAAAATGCCTGATTTTCACAAAAGTAAATTAACAATATTAATTCCTATTTTTTCACTCATGTTCATCCATTATAACAATTTTAAGGGTATGACTCTGCCTTGAGTGGATTTCTGACCTTGTATTGGGTGAACTTTAGTATAAATAAAATAGAAAATTCAATCTCTACAGCCATATTGCCAACATCCGTTTCTGGCATCGTCGTCCCACATAATAAAAACTTTCGGAGTGACCTTCGTATATGGGTGCATATGAAAAAGACTTGCCCCGTGTCATTAACCGTTAGTTCATCCGCACCTTCTGCCAGGACATATAGACTTACAAAAAAAGTAACAGATGTTGGCTTTGCCTTCGATAAAGATAAAATGCTAACAGATCCGTCATAGTTAGACGCACACCCGTATTTCAAAGTGGTGTCTTCCGAAAAAAAACCGCTCGTCTCCGGTAAACTAAATCTTAACTGAAGAAAGAATTTCACTTTCGTATATAAGATGTCAGTATTTTCTTTTGCTTTTTATTAGTATTTTATATTTTTATTAGTATTTTATATATCACCAAATAGGATACATTGTACACCTGCTGTAATGCAATGATTGGTATCACAAAGTTGTGAAACCAAATCATTTAAAGTGGAGAGTTGACGATGCCTTGAGCGGCAACCGAACACAAAGAATCCACTATGCGAAAAGCAGATTCAAAATAGAAAAAAACATCACTTTGATAAATAAACTAAAATATATTAATCTGTATCTAATCTATTTTATGTACATGAGTGCACAACTACACACACACACACACACACACACACACACACAACACACACACACTCACACAGAGAGAGAGAGAGACTAGAATTCTTTTTAACTCCCAGTAGCCTCTTGCTTTCTAGTGACATTATCGCTTTGCATGAGGTGAAATTCTTTTTAATCAATTCACCGCAAACAAGGCGATAATGCCACTAAAATACAAATGCTTGCTGGGAGAATAAGAGAATAAAAAGATTTTGGAAGAGACCCGTAGCCCAATCTTAGGCTTACAACGACACCACGTTGAAACACCGGTCTCCATACGATCGTCGACGTTAAGCAACGTTGAGGTTGGTCAGTACCTAGATGGGTGACCGCTTGGGAATACCAGGTGCTGTAAGCTTAGATATGCGGTTAGTAAATGGGCTTACAACGACACCACGTTGAAACACCGGTCTCCATACGATCGTCGACGTTAAGCAACGTTGAGGTTGGTCAGTACCTAGATGGGTGACCGCTTGGGAATACCAGGTGCTGTAAGCTTAGATATGCGGTTAGTAAATGGGCTTACAACGACACCACGTTGAAACACCGGTCTCCATACGATCGTCGACGTTAAGCAACGTTGAGCTTGGTCAGTACCTAGATGGGTGACCGCTTGGGAATACCAGGTGCTGTAAGCTTAGATATGCGGTTAGTAAATGGGCTTACAACGACACCACGTTGAAACACCGGTCCTCATAAGATCACCAACGTTAAGCAACGTTGAGCTTGGTCAATACCTAGATGGGTGACCGCTTGGGAATACCAGGTGCTGTAAGCTTAGATACGCGGTTAATAAATGGGCTTACAAAGGCACCACGTTGAAACACCGGTCCTCATAAGATCACCAACGTTAAGCAACGTGGAGCTTGATCAGTACCTAGATGGGTGACCGCTTCCGAATACCAGGTGCTGTAAGCTTGGATATGTGAGTAGTCTGTAGTAGGCTTTTGATCACGTCACATTGAAACACTGGTTCTCATACGATCACCGACGTTAAATAACATCGAGCCGGGATAGTAACAAGATGAGTGACCGGATGTGAATACAAGGTGTTGTAAGCTTGGACATGTGGGTAGTAAATGGGCTTACGACCACACCACGTTGAAGCACCGGTCCCCATAAGATCACTGACGTTAAGCAACGTCGAGCGTGATCAGTACCCAGACGGGTGACCGCTTGGGAATACCAGGTGCTCTATGCTTGGATATGCGGCTAGTAAATAGGCTTACGACAATATCACGTTAAAAAACGGGTCCCCATAAGATCACCGATGTTATATCGAGCCTGTTAAAAAACGTCGAGCCCCAAATGGATGACCGCTTGGAAATATCACCGATATTTGAGTAGCAACGTCGACAACACTTGTTCAGAGCACCGACGTTTAGCAATGTCGAGCCTGATCAGTACCTAGATGGGTGACCACTTGGAAATACCAGGTGCTGTAAGCTTGGATAAGCGAGTAAGCTTACAATCATGCCACATTAAAACACCGGTCCTCATAAGATCACCGATGTTAAGCAACATCGAGCCTGTTCAGTAAGTTTAGACATTGGGGTGGAGTAACGAAATTGTTAATCGGAGAGCCGAGTTCCAATTTTTGTAGTGTTTATTATATTCCCTTACACGCAAATACTTTTCCATGAATCCACGACTTCTCCCCAACTATGGATTAATTAGTAAGCCTTGTATCACTAAACCATTATTATCACCAAATAGATTCTAAAACCTCTGAAATAAATCAAATCCAACCCTAAACAGGAAACAAGAGATAAACCTCTACTCCTGTTTACGTGGAGGTGTGAGAACCGAACGATAGACAAACCGATCTATTTCTAGTACCGATTTTTTTTTTTTTTTTTTTTGAAAAGCACACATTGTGCATGTGCATGTATGGAGGTGGGTAGATCGTCATGGAAAACAGAATTAGTGATCTTAGTCTGAATATTAATGTTCATTGATACTAATGTTCAGAATAAAAAATACTAGTTACCTACTTTGTTAATAACATTTCACATTAACGAGCTGGTCGTTAAGTAAGTCGTTGAAGCTGTCCGCTATTTCAACGACACTACGTGTGTTATAGGTTTATGTCAAGATAAATTTAATACCACTATTACACCATTTGTAACACTGCTAATTTATTTCTAAATTATTATGCAATACAGTTACTTTCAAGTCAAGATGGTGGCACTACTGATAAAAATCACTCTATGATTTTTACAATTGTTCTAAACCGTCTCTTACAAGACTCCATTGAACAGGTGAAGCTGGAATTAACGTAAGAGATTGCTCATGCAATAATGTATTTTTGGTATGACTAACGGTAGTAGTAATAGTTTGAATATTAACTGAGACTGCTTATACTCACTTAGCGCGAATATCCTTGGGAAAGGCATGAATCCACTTCTCCCTCTATTATGTCCCCATTGTGAGATATCAAGACAAATGCATCGGTACTAGTATGCCATGGTTATTGACGTACAATAGAGAGAGTAAGCGGAACATTTCTTGAAGAAGAAAAGACTATTAATTATAAGCAATGTCGTAAGTTGGTTTCTTTCTTTTCTTTTTTTTTCGCTGTTATTAAATAGCCGGATATTTTCCGGACACACCTCGGTTTTATTAAATTTGATTTCATGAGACGGCCTAAATAAATATAAAAGCAAACACTCAATTAATAGCTGCACATGCCAAAGTTTTCTTCCCCACACCAACACGTGTGGATTTAATTGCCCGTATCAGAAAGTAGGGATTATCATTGTTAATCTTGCGTCAAAAAACAATTGTTTTATTCCAATAATTCCAATGAGATTATAGATTAAGCACTCGCTTAGTTTATTATCAGTAGTAGTAGTATTAGTAGTAGTAGCAGTAGTAATTCCTCTAGTAGTAGTAGTAGTAATTAGTAGTAGTAGTAGTAGTTCTTTCATTTATAGTTTTATTAGTATTATTTTAATCTCATTTTATTGTTCACTGATAGATCTCGAAAAAATATACTTACCTAGGTATTCGAAATGTTTTCAATAAGGTTATCGTCTGGATAAGTTTATCGTGTTCCACTAATTTCCATTTCCTCTAGTCTTATTTTCAGGCTCTTCTGGACTGTTCCCAGTACCCTAATAGCTACAGCCCATCGTAAGGTGTGGGCTGTATTCGTGAGAACAATGTTTTGTATTTCTTTAAGGCATGGGCTTCCAGGAATCCCTTCAATTAATACACTGGAATCTTTTCCAACCAATCCGAGAGCAACTACAACGGGGATTGTTGATGTTCCCATGTGCCGCATTTTTGAGATTTCTATTTCAAGGTTCTTGTATTTTGATAGCTTTTGAAGATCTTGAAAGATACAATGCAGTCTGCATATACTGTATTATCAATAAAGAGATTATTATTATTATTATTTTATTTTCTTTAATTTCTGGCGTTTACACATTTCTTTCCGGGTCCCGCCCAGTGACCTAAGGTTAGAAATGGCATCATGACACTTTCCACTGACTAAAAAAATATATATATATATTACATAAAGCCCTTCGTAAAGTGTGGGCTGTACTTGTCAGAACAATTTTTTGTATCTCCTTGAGGCATGGACTTCCAGGAATTCCTTCAATTAGTCTACTGCAATCTTTTCCAACCAGTCCTAGGGCTCCAACTACAACAGGGATTGTTGATGTTCCCATATGCTACATTTTCGAGATTTCTATTTCAATGTCCTTGTATTTTGACAGCTTTTTGAATATCTTCAAAGATACATTGCAGTCAGCAGGGACTGCCATATCAATAAGGAAGCACTTTTTTTGTTTGTGGTCTTTAATAACAATATCTGGCCGGTTGGCCTTGATTGTTCTGTCAGTGTGTATTGTGTAATCCCATAGAATTGTAACAGGTCCTATCTCCGTAACCGGGTCTGGGTGGTGTTCATACCAGTTTCTTTCAGTTTCCTTCCCGTAGAAGTTGCAGATTTTCCAGTGCAGATATTGGTCCACTCTGTCATGCCGGGTTTTATATTCAGTGGGTGCCAACACCGTGCAACCTGATACAAGATGATCAATCGTTTCTGGATATTTATCACAGAATCTGCATTTTGGGCTAACACAATATTTTAGTATATGTGCTTGATAATTCCTAGTTAGCAAGCATTGGTCCTGTGCAGGAAGGATAAAACCTTCAGTTTCCGCTTTCAACCCTGCACTACGTAGCCACTGATGGGTACGGGTTTTGTCTACGCCAGTTTGTTTGGTACGGGAAGAGTATTGGCCATGAAGCGGTTTATCTTGCCATCGCTTCTGTATCTGGTCGGTTGCATTCGTCTTTGCTGTCTTTTTTAAGTATTTTGCAGTTTCAGCCAGTGTATTGTGCTGTACTTGCATCTCTACGCCCATTTGAAACTTCATTTTGAATTTGTTGGCTTCTTTTATTACGGAGTAAAGACGCGTACTACTTTCAGGTTCTTTAACGCATACAATCATCCAGTCTTCTGTAGTTTCCAAGTATCTTTGGAGGCCAATTGTTGTAGTTTTGTAGGACAGATCTAGTTGAACTAATCATCTGCCTCCTTCGGATCTGGGCACATACAGACGATCAACATCAGCTTTGGGATGATGAATGCGATAGCAAGTGAGAAGCTTTCGCGTTTTGGCGTCCATTCGCTTTCAGCTATGGTCAAGTTAAGGACATTAAAACTGTATTGCACCACAGGGGCAGCCAATGTGTTTATGGCTGATATTCTGTTTTTTGAGTTTAGCTCGGTATTTAGTACCAGACGTACACGCCTGTAGCACTCTTTTCTCATTTTTTCCTTTATTTGGGGGTGTTGTATGCCATCTCCTTCGCTAATTTCTAGGTACTTATAAGCTTCATCATGCTCCAGTTCCTTAATCTTTGTGACAAAATCTAAATCTATTAAGGGTGTTTCTGTAATTCTACCTTTCTTGAATGTTACTTTTGCATTATTATTATTATTATTATTCCGTTATATTTGTCACTGATGTTTATCCACTCAGTAAAAATCAGAATTCGTTTGCATTTTTCTCGAAAGCAATCACTACCTTAACTCTAATCACCAAGCGCAAAGAATTTGTAACATTCACTATTTTCTCTGTCGGATTTGTGCATAATCTCCAACATTGTCCGTTTGCCTACAACATATGAAGAATTGCAATTGTAATAACCGTTTCCATACAGGAAAAATTCGGCATTCATTGGCCAAGCAGTTTTACTATTAGCTGAAATTCATAAAATATTTTTATTAAGACATTGTCCCGGAAATGTTATAGTTCTTCTTAATATTAATATAAGTTTCCTTCTAATCGTTTTGTTTTGATCTTGTGGAAAGTAAACAACTTATTTCTCTACTTGTTCAATTTTTGTTGTTGCTGTTGGAAGTTTTCAAGTGATGTGGTTTTGTTATTTGATAAAGATCTTCGTCTGCGGTTTTGTAGAGCCAATCTATAGGACCTGATGGGGAATCGTCTCCTTTAAGCCTGGCCCTTCTTCCATATTTAATTTATATTGACAAAATGTATCATCACTATGTTTAATGAAAAACAAAGTGAATTAGGTAAGAGTTAAGCTAATCACTCCTCCATAACAGTGTACCTATAAATTTGCATAAACGTTGTCATTTCTGTAGCCACCCCACCAAAAAAAAGGCCGATAGAAAAATAACATGTAGTTCAGAGAACATGTCGTCTGTAAAGTGAAAGAATATTTTAATTGAGCGTGTAAGACATTTTATTATTTTCTGAATTCAAGGAATTGATTAATTTTTTTTTCTTTATTTACAAAGAATTGATTCGTATTTTCGCAAGAGAAGACAATTTTAAGTTATCTTACGAAACCGTAAAATTTCTTCACAATACGTTTTTCTCTAAAACAGACTGACACAAATTTGTAACGTAGAAGGAGAGGAGGGTATTCTGTCTGATACTTTTTGTTAATCTATTAATCTTTACATTCCTGTGGAGGTGAACAATTTCCGAACACGCTCAACATTCATGTTCGGAAAACTTTCCAAGCGGAAAGTATTTCAATTTAATGCGTATTATGCTTAAACGATTTTAATTCATTCTGTTATTCTTTAATTATATTGTCCGCTCATTTAGAAAAATAACGTCAATTCTAGTTGCGAAGTTTCCAAGGCGAATGCTTTTTTTGTTGATGCTATTTCGACTCAGGATAAACAAAACTGACAAAAATG